ATATTATGAGATAATTACGAGCCCCGCAACTTGTCGTTATTATCCGAGTTGCTCGCAACTCGGTCCCTGCCTTATTCTTTTCTTCCTGTTACGCCGGCTTCATAATTTCGCAATCGCGAATGTGTGCCGTCGTCGTTGTGCGTCATGCACACGATTCGAGGCAAGAACACGCTTTGAGACGAAACAACGTATGATTAAACGGGTTGAAATCATTTGCGGTACCCGGTGTTTTATCAATTACATCGCGGCTTGACCATTAGCTGCAAGCGCGATATTAATTTCTCGCAATCGGAATAAGAAACGGAGATAACGAGATTATAAATTATACATTGATGAATGACGCGCGCGCGACGAGATAAATTAATAAAATGTTAATAAATTTATTCCGCTCTTTTTGCGCGTGACAATTGATACTCTTTTTTATGACGATCATATAGGTAATATAAAAAGATTTGATATTTTGTCACGTGAAAATAAAAATATAATTATTCAATAAAATCTCTAACTTCTTTACAGGTAACGATGAAAAAACAGATTTAATATGTCATGTATAGTGTACTTGTACGATAAATATAAAATAGTGTCCGATTAAAAATTCATAGTTGTATAGAAATTGTCTTTTACAAGTTATTGCTGAAATTATACTTGCATACTTGAGAATTAAACTAACGAAATGCATGCGTCAATAAACAAGTTCATAATTGAGAGGTAGATAATAAAACAGGCGTATAATTAACATGTATGATTTAAATAAAGATTCCCCGCTTTACGTATCGACGTTTGCATAGAAATTTTACAAATTCAACATTTCGCATACACATACATACACGCCGCGCGTTTTCAAAGACCTAGATTGCGCAACGAATCTCGAATGCGTTCCGTTCGCATTGTTCGAGAGAGATGAAAATATCCGGAACGGATAAATATTCTCGAATGATAGCCTTTAAAATTGATATCACCGCGATAAAAACGCCACGGCTCTCCCATATTAATGCGTCGACAACAAAAACATTTTTTCGCCTATTAGCTCCGGTTTGGCGGCTCGCGGCGCTAAAATGATATTGAATGCGCAGATATAAAATTAAAATGGTTCGCGCAATACGCGTACACGTATACACGGCCGGCGGCGCGCAATTCGCGCCCCTGTTTTTGTCCGCGATTTCGAAAATGCGCATCCGGCTTTTATAATATATAGGAAATAATACGGGAGGAGAGGGAGAGGAGGGGAAAAGAGAATCGCACGAGCGCGATATTAAATATCGCCGCGCGTGCCACAATATTTACGTTTAGTCTCGCGCAAAATATTTGCGCCGTCGTTGAATCTATGCGGCTGAATTACACGTATCGCATGAACCCGAAAACGACAACAACGATCCGCGCAGCGTCGGGAGACACCGCCGACCGTTGTCGACGATGGTTCATCGAATGACTTTCCCCAGTGTCGGATGACAGAGCTTTTAGACTCCATCCATGAGTAAACCAATCCGATGACTGCCAACGTATTACTATTATATCCGCGCCCCTCCCTCTCTTGCCTGGTCCATCACGCCGCATCACACACCCCCGCCTTCTCGAATCGCACGAGGGTGTAACAGAAATGATTTACCGTTTTGCAACGATACATATATTGCATATACATATATGTATATATATATGTACGTACGTAAATATACGTCATCGCAAATTTACCGTTACTCGACAATGTATTTATACTGAACATTAAAAGCGGAGATGCACAGTTTTTATGTCATTTCAAATTACATTGCAAAAAATGGAACGGATTTTTTTCTAATTAAAAAAAAAAAATTTCACGTCAGTCTCGCATTTTTCATGAACTTCTATCCATAAATAGGCGATAAAAGATTACGAGTTTAAATAGATACGATAAATAAATAGATACGATAAAGCGGTGGAAAAGTTGAGCGGAAAAATCTCAAAAAATTGTTCGATTCTTCTTTCCGAAGAAAATGGATTCTATTCATGATATTCCTCGAATGAAATTCGTCGAGTGTCGCTCGCAGAGACGGAATCTGATCGTGTCTGATTGTATTCGGAGACGAATTAAGCTGCTAATTGCGACTTCCCATGAGGATAATCTCGCCTCATTAGCTAATCCCGACATTGCTGCACTTCGGTTCTGCGCGAGGCTCAATAATGTCAAAGACCGTAATTGGCTGATTCCGCAGATGGTTGGAATGGAGTTTGCATCCGCGCAAGCTCGAATGAGAAACCGCGAGATGTCGAAAGTCTTTTCTCCGGGCCGCGTCCGTGAATTTTTCACAATCTTATTATGATTACGCTATTGATTTTTGATAAACGATTGGTGCGCGAAAGGTTTTAACGACAGAAACTCTATAGAATCGTCACGTATTACAGATTGCAACGTTGCATCGAGAATAATTAAAGTTAGTAGTGATAGAGAAACTTGTTGGCTTCTCATTTAGGACATCGCGTAGATCCTGACTAGGTACATCCTCTTTTGCAATACGGAAAATAAAGTGATTAGTTACTTTCAAGATGTATAATTATACCTCGCGCGTATGCGCAACGCCTTCTCCGTAATTTTCGCTATTTATAATTTCAATGGCATCCCGTTCTGCCTCATTAGAACGCGTCGCGAGTGATTTTTTGCTACTGGATCTTTTTTCTCGAACAATTGTAATTGTCGTTATTAAACTATTCATAATTTTTTCTCGCCTTCTAATCGTAAGTTACATTGTAAAAAAAAAACCATTCGTTAAACTGTTTGTATCAAGCATAAATAGATAATTTGCATAATTTACGCTCAAACATACATAACGTTTATCTGTTAATCTTTCGTAAAAATACTCATACGCATATTATTCCGCATTATTATTCGTCAGAGACGATGAATTCTTTGAACTTGGTGTACGTAATAGGGAGAACTTTAAGAAACCATCAGTCAAGGCAGAGGCAGACAAAGTCTGTCTCGTAGGTTTTTTCCTGCTTGAAAAATCAAGCAATTTAAAAATAAATATTCTATTATTTACAATAATACTTTTTCACGAATATCATTCTTTTTTTTCGCTCGTCGAAACTTCTCTGTCAGTTTTCTTTCCTGCTCTATCTGGATACACCCCTGAATCAAGGCGTCATCGCGTCGCGCTACTTTAATCTACACGAAAACATAATAAATGCGCTATAATCGCGACCTACCTCGCGTATCGGCAACAATCTCGAAAAAAGGGCAGCTCGACGCGCGGAAAAAGTTAATCAAATTCAACCGCGCTGCTCCGTCATAGTCGTGACGTAGTCGAATAGTCATCGTAACGACGATGTTCAACTTTGACCGGGCGCGATAATTAAGTGTCGCTCGGCCTCTAATATCGCCCGCGGCCCCGGTAATATCTGTAATCCGCGCGAAACGATTTCGACGGGTGGCAACAACGCGGTGCGCCGCGCGACGTACCTCATAATTAGTCGGAAGACAGAAGGACGGTGAAATAGAGAGAGGACGCGATCATAATTGCCGCGCGCGCGACCGCGGCCCGGCACAATCAATTAAATGGCATGCGCATTTACCATCGCGAGATGTGGAACGGGACCTCCCTCTCCTCCCCCCCGTCTGCCCCCTCCCTTCCCCATCCTCCTCTCGCTGTTATAAATCGACGTTTCTTTTTTTCTCCTCGAATAATCCCTAATTGAGTGGTCCGCGTGTATGTACATCGGGAAGATAAATTTCGAAAAATCGACGTTTCGCCGTGATAAATGCAAATTGCCCATCTGCACGTTTGCGTTTGTCAACATTAATATTTCTCCTCTCTTTTATAATTTTTATACTATACCCCCTTTATCTCTTCAAAGAATTTTCTTCCTAATATTTGTATGAATTGCAAATAAATAGAAAGCGAATGTATCTCGTGTACCGTTGAATAAAGCGGCGCGCGTTATCGTTGCATCGGCATCGTATTCAAATTGTTAATGCATATCTTTATTACCCGTTCGTGACATAATCTAAATCGATACGTCGTATAGTTGGACATAAATTAGACGTTATTACGTTGTACATCTTATCGCGCTTCCTGCGCGGCTTTTTTTTTTTAAATATATACAACAATAATTATTCTTCGATAACCGCCGTCTCGTGGCAACGTTTTTTTAACCAACCTTGCGCAACGCTTCTCCCCCTTTCTCTCTCTCTCTCTCTTTCTCTTTCTCTCCCTCTTTCGGCGCAAAGTTTTAATGAAATGAAAGGAAAAACTCTCCGAGTAAAGTTGGGGCACCATGTTACGTCACATGAACTAAAACTTATAAAACTTGCCGAGTCTCTTCATTCACTTGTCTTGTCTGTGTACTAACTTTAGGAAATATGGCAGCACGACATTTTCGTATAATACGCATAACCGCGAGAAATTAATACATGTATAAGAAATAACGCGCGACGTAATCTCCGAAATCGCTGATGAACGCAAATTGAGGATTAGATGATTTAAAAAAAAAATCTCTCCTTTTGTTTCCACAATATAAACAAAAACACACGCACAAAACTATCTTGATAAAGGACAACCGCATTATGGAAATTTTAATTAGGGAAAAACCATTTCCGGCTCTGTCTTTTAAATGTGTGACAGGGAAGAGCTAACTAAAAGAACATTACAGGTAATTTGAAAATTAATTAAATTAAGTACCGCTTTCGTAACGGGTTTGTCAAATGTAATATTCGATATTTTCGATATCAAAGGAAAATTCGATAAAATGTTAAATTATGTTGGAAAAACGCTGACAAAAGGGGTATTGAAATAATGCGTAATTAGCTCCTAGATTATTGATTGGTTATTTTAACGAGAAGTTAAATTTACGAAATTATATGCATACACACGCTTTTAAGATTGATTAAATAACTATACGCCGGAATTATGGTAATCTCCCGCCATGTGTGTGCGCTCCACGTTGGTTTTAACTATGCGGCACGATTTATATTCGATCAAACTGTTAAATCTTAAAAGATGGCTTATTATTAAATAATCGAGCAATATTACCTGTTGCTGCACAACCGCACGCTCAAGTCCCGCAACATCCGCTTCTGAAAATCAGAAATAGTTTGTGATGAGTGCAATGACATTTGATATACTTTTAATAGATAATGTGACGAAAGGATATTAATTATTACAATTAATTGAAACGTTGACGTCGGTTGCGCAAGTAATTCCTTTATTAAAGTAATTTTTTCGTGGAATCTTTCCCGCATTGATCATGATTTATTATTTAAAAAATAAATAACCTCGTGAAGTGAGAGTTGACAAAAATTATTAACAAACATTTTGACGTTTTTGTTTTCAGGTCGTATCCGTCACCGGTACAGAATGGAGGACCAAACGGCACGACGACGATGAGTTGCACGACTTCTCAAGGTAAGAACAGACTTTGCCGATCGGACGACCGCGTTCGCGTTCGGACAACAGGTTCTGCTCCTCGATGAAAAAAAAGAAGGGAAAAAAAAAGAAAAAACTCGGAAACAATTCTGCTAATTCAATGCGTCGCGCAACGTTCGCGCGTTGCATTTAATTACTACGACCCCGCCGCCGCGCTGGAATAAAGCCACCGCGATTCGCAATAAAAGCAGACTCGCGAGAGAACGGCATTCCGGCACGCTCATTAATTAGCGGGGGTCCGAAAAAATTTCCCGGCGAAATTTTCTTCCGATTAAATTAGCGTTGCATTAAATTTATTGGCTGAATTCTCTTTTATAAACTGGCGCGCGCGCGCGCTAAAAGAGCCGATCGGTGATAGCGAGTCGGTCTCTCGTTCGCAGCTCTCTCCCTCTTTCTCTCTCTCTCTCTTTCGCGCGCGCACGTATATAATTTGCAAATATCAAACGTCGGCCGATATTTGAAAATATTGACTCTGGTATTTTAGCGGGGCCGCGGCGCGGCCGACAGTCTCTCTCGGTACGGGAAAAAAATTACCCGCCTCATGACGATTCAATATTGCGCGATTATCGCGGGAAAAAGACCTAGATAGAAAGAGAGGGAAAAAGCTACGAGCGGACCAGATACAATATTAATTTTATATTTTTCGCCATCGTGTGACAAAGCGAGCGCGTGCGACGAACGTGCGGTCGCCGCGAATCATATATATATATATATATATATATATATATATATATATATATATATATAATATGTATGTATGTATGTATATATATATGTGTGTGTGTGTGTGTGTGTGTGTGTGTGTGTGTGTGTATGTGTGTGCGTGCGACTCGTACATACGTGCGTGCGTATATACATGCCGTATTGCAAAAAGCTTGTCCTCGCGTTTATTCGCGATTGCGAGCGAGCCATTAAACAGATTCGCATGGAATTTCACGACGAAAAAGAATCGGGCGAGCGCGTTCGTTCGCCCGCTCGGAAATTGCGCGGAACGCGCAATCAATGAAAAAGCTTCATTTCAACACGAGCTTATTACGAAATTAATTTTCATTATAACGGGATTCTCGCAAGTATACCACGCGTCTTTCTGCATCGCGATCCATTTATAACGCACGCGCGCTTTGCCAATATTACGCTGCTTTTCCCGGGGGAAAAAATAGTATCGCGGACTGTTTTGCGTAATTTGAATTTTCACGGCGATTTTCCATCAATGTCGCGACGATGGACACTCGTAAATTCGGACTCGCGAAGGAGGACGCGGATCTAACACGCGAGCGCGAATCGAAAAACGCGCGGTCGACGTCGCGAAACTATACCGGGGGTCGATATCATACATCCGGCAATTGGCGCGAAATTGTAAAAAAATATTTCCCGAGAGCGAGACCGAGCCCGAGTCGGCATCGGCGATGCGTACAGCGGACGCGCGACAATCGCGTCGAAATATACGGCCACGCACGGGGCGAAATCCGAGGTCAATTACAAACACACGTCGTCTCACCGAGCTGTCAGTCATCAATCCGCGGAATATTTTTCTCTGGGTCAATTGAACAATTCTACGCGTCGTCGGACATGGAGTGAATCGCGCGCGGGTGGACTGGGTATTTGCTGTTACCGGGGCTTTCAACGGCTAACCGGTAAATCTTCTGACGAGCGATTAACTCGTTTCTCTCGGTACTCCTCAGCTATTAAATTACCATCGACGATACCGCCGGCAATAAAACTTGTTCGGGGTGATACTAAACCGAGCGAAAGGTTGCGGCAAGGCCCGTGGATTATACAATAATCTCTTAAATCACTTAAATGCCTCGTTTATTTATTCCTCATCATTTATCGGCACTACTTTGAGCTTTATGATCGCGGCATATCGAATTGATTGACAATTTAATTAATGTACGTTTCATTCTTTGGTACGCCAGCTGCTGCTTTATATTCGATAATAAAGGAAACGAAAGATTTGTGCTTTACATTTAATAATTATATATATATATCTTGTAACGTACGATTACACGTGAAATTAAATTAAATGTAGAAATAAAAGTTTCGACCGTATTCATAAAATTGTTTAAAATGCCTTGAAAATTTGATCGAGAATGTGAAAAATTATTTCGCACAATTTTTTCCAGAATTATTTTTAACCGCAATGATATGTAACGGTAAATTTTGTCTCGATGGGAAAACTGTGAGAGAGAAAGTTCCAAGTTATCGAGTTTTCCTTGATTTAAAAAAGCTGTGGAAAAGATAAATTCGATCGCTCCTGAAAAAGTTTGCGAGCAAATATCGAAAGTTCGAAGCGCACTTTGATTCCGGGCAAATCGCCCGGCAACTATGTTTAAACTGGGCTGAAAATTCAACTGGTGCCCGTTTACCTGTAGCTGTCTGGGATTAGAGTTAGACGGCACACTCGATGAGTCACTCGACTCGCTCTCTCAGTTTCGCGACGGAAGTATTTCACAATACGAGTCGAGATGAGTGACAGGAGTTCCCGTGCGAATTAATAGCGCGATAATTTCAGCTAGTTAGCTCGTGTACATACGGAGAGGAGGAAAATAGAAGAAACTTGGGAGATGATTAACGAGCCACCATGAGAGTCTGGCGTCTCCGTGCGACGTCGGGAAACTAAAATTGAACGAAAGAAACGTTACGTTCTTCCCGTTTATAAACGTAAACATGATGATGTAACACAATGATTAGATGCGAAATTCTACGTCAGATCGCTTTCAAGGTCCGACTTATTTGGCATTTTTTTCCCTTCCGTGACCTTCCACACGATCAAGAGAGTGGGGATGTTTATTATCGCGCGCAGGTGTCGCGGAGAGAATTCATTCCCGCGAATAATGTCGCGCGCCTCGCATCGTCGAGCGAGCATTTCTCGCTTACGTATATCGATGAGAACGCGAACGCGAACGCGAACGCGCGACGAGAGATAAGCGAGCCGAAAATCTAAAGGGCGTCGCCCCGTCCTTGTCTCTGCGAACAGGGGTGATGGTGAAGCAGGAGGCGAGGGACGACGGTTACGAGACGAGTCCGGACCTCGAGATGAGGAGCACCGGCGGTGACAGCAGTCAGCAGTATCACACGCCGCTGACACCACACACGCCGCACACACCGCACACGCCGCACACGCCCCTCACGCCGATATCGGCGACAGCGCATCAACCCCAGCAGCCGGGCTCGACCGCCTCCGCCCTCGGACAGGTGAGTTTTTCATATTCGCCCTACCCTCCCCTCAGCCTTTTCCCCGTCCCTCGAGTTATTTACGTATCTGCAACGACCGAATGCGATTTTACCTTGTTTCTTATATAAATAGATTAAGATTATTATCGAACAAAAATGTATCTTACTTTTACCGAGTCGTAATATTCGGGAAAGGGTATAATTGAGATATTTTATTTAGCTTGGTTTATATATATATATATATATATATATATATATATATATGTGTACGATGTTTAAACGTCGGGAATAATGCTCCGTTTGCGGAATTGTCGGTGATATGTACGCGTGATTGCTGTAATAATGCCGGAAGGTAACGGTTGTACGGTGTATTCTCGATCGATCTTATGTCAGAATTTTGGACTAAACGAATTTGCGCTATCTAATATGACAATCTGAAATTAATATACATTCGTATATATTCCTATTCTCTCTCTCTTTCTCTCTCTCTCTCTCTCTGTTTTATAAACACGCGTAGGAAGATCACATAAGATCGCAATCTTATTTATAAAATGTACAAACACTTTAATTAGTAATAACATTAAATTTATTATCCGCGCGGTATGATTATTATCTCGAAATCTCGCAGAGTGCAATTTTAAAGCGCGATTTTAAATCCGCGGATCAGAGTGGATCATGTTTCAACAAAGAAATGCACGATAGGTGTCAATCAAATTGCAAAACACGCGTCGATATCAAGTGCCACGGGACTTTGCGATCGAGTATCGCCGCGTAATCGGCGGAGAAAAAATATGCGGTTATTATATACGAAGAGAGAGAGAGAGAGAAGGAGTGAAAAAAAGAAGGCGCGCATAAAACGCCAAAATTATTGCACGATAAAAAGCGCAGACGGTTCTCATTAGGATCCGCCGTATCGGCCATATCTGGCACCTCGCAATCAAAGTTACGGGCAATAAATTGCAATAAAGACGCGCGCAATCGCCACTCTGGGTTTTTCGCAATGCCGCGCTCGGCGATTTGCATTTTCATGTTAGCTTTACGATCTACTTACGCAACGTTACTTCTGTCGTCGTACAATGAAAGCCGTGGACGAACCGCCACGCGGTGTTACTTATTTTTCGCTTTACGCGAGAATCTTTCTAACCGTGCCATTCTACGATCATTTACGTCTTGCGTAATCCCTACGATTGATCGATCGAACGCGAAATGCGTGATAAAATTATATTGATACAGATAAAGCAATAATTTTACAAGCCCCTAGTAACACCCCAAGCACCACCTTTATTGTTTACAGCATTTTAGAATGTTTGTCTTTTTCAAACGGGTACATCGATAATCATTATCGATTCATTAATAATGAAAGAAAAATATAAATGAATTTGTGAGTAATTTGTCCACATTTGCAATATCGAGAAGAACAGTAGCGGATGAATATCTCGAAATAAATGGAAAAAAATCTTCCCCTTGTATTTTTTAGAAAGCTATTGCATCTTTCAAACGGAATTTGACGTTTTTTCACTTTACAAACCGGAGCAATAAAAGCTTTTTGCGAGAACGATTCGAATGAATATTTTGACGATAGTAATTTTCAGCGACTTCAATCAGAACGCGCATTTTCCGCTCATGAATTAATTGCAGGTTGCGCAGCTCCCCAATTTGGCTATCGGCGCTATCGCGCGCGAATTACAGAAATTTCATCCGATATTAAATTGCCATTATCCGCAAAATTGTTATCCGCTGTCAGGATCAATAATCTTTTTCTCGAAAATTATTGCATGACGTGACGAATCGATCTCGATTTTGCTAGCTTCTCGTTTTAACAAACGAATGGTCGACGAACGAGTGGAGCAAATTTCTGTTGATCGAATTTTGTTAACCGTGAACAAACGTTCTAGATTTATCGAGTTCATACCTTCCCCCTCTCCTCGGTTGCACATTATCGCGTTCTCTTTTTCTAAATCTCGATTTACATTATTTCGCTCGACTCTTATTCCGATACCTCATCGTTTCTCCGCAAATGAATCAACAGATTTTAAATTACAAATTTCTTATAAGATTTTTTCGAAATACTTGAAGGCTGAAAGATGGAAAACGTCATTATCCCTAAAAATAGCGTTCATTTTCTAGATAAATTGTGTCGCATTCCGTAGAACGGAATCAATAGTTAAGATTTCCGATCGATTCGAGAATTTTTTTTCTCTCTTTTTTTCGGAATATGATTTATATAATAATTGGACGTCTCGTATATAACACATATAAAAGCAGAGTCGCCATAAACGAAGGTTTAATATACCAACAATGAGCTTTACTATCGCAATATTTTCCCCCCAAATATATAGATTAATAGTTGTACAAATCGATAAACGAGCGTTTTTTACGCGACCAGCGGCTCGCAATAAAGATTTTCCTCTATTTACCCGTTTATAACGCAAATATTATACTCTAATATTGTCGGATAAAATAAATCGTTCCGCTGCTAGTACGACGCTACACGCTCGCTACGGTCTTTTTGCAAGTAAATAATAACAGTACGGTGCACGCGATATGAATACGTTCTTATCGCGCGTAATATTGTCGGCGACCTTCGGGCGAAGCTCGGAAAAAGGACGAATAGCGGGGATAACGCATCAGCGGTAACTACCAGTCAGTACGGTCCTTATCTTCGTGGGATTTCGACCTCGATTTCACAGGGTTATCACGGGGTCAAGAGCGTGGCTATGTCGGCTGGAAAGGCCGGGACGGGGATGAGACCAGGTCGAAAATTGCAAGCGAGGGAATGTTTACGTGTCGCGATAAAAAAATCCTCGGTAATCCCCAAAGCCTCGCCAGATTCGCGTTATCTCTACCATTTTCGCGAGCGCCGAAAAAGCGACGCGACTTTCCTTTTGCTGTGTATTAATAAACGCAATTGGTTAAAAAAAATGTCATTTTTTTACACAAATTTTAGGCCGAGAATAAATACGGAAAGTAAAAATCGCTCGAAATATTCTGTCCGTGTCACTCAAATAAACAAACGATAGAGAGATCGTTTAAGATTAAGAACGTGGGATATGGGAATATCGATAAATTATCACGATTATTGACAGACTTCAGAATACAATAACGGCCTGTTGAATAATTTCTGATTTTATTGGATAGGATAGCGCTCGAAGCATTTATTTTAGTTGGCGATATCGGATTTTTGCGCGATCGTCGAGAAGAGTCGGGCAGCGAAACGTCATTCGGATACCTGTCGTATTAATCGTCTAATACCATCTCGTTAATATCGTCAAGACAAAACTCGATCAAGAAAGTTGCCAGATAATTTGATGCTTGCCTCTCTTCATATTTTACGTTAAAACCGATAATGTATTCTATGTATTGTCAGTCAATTCTTTCGAGTTTGTCACTCGACTTGAAAGGCAATCAATTTTCGGAGATTGTAAAAATTCACGTTATCTTCCTTTATATATTATCCTCGGTCTCTTATTCAAAGGCAAATGGTTCGAATTTTAGTTGATTCGAGTGATTAATGCAAAAAGCAGACGATATGAAAAGCGCAACAGGAGACGAACGATAGTCGTCTGTGCGCGTTGCGCAATTTACAAAAAAAAGAAAAGGGAGAGACACAGCTGCACGTTTTACAACCGCGAACGGTCGATACGTTGTACGTGGCTGTATATTTTTGGTCCACGGGCGGCAATTGCGCTATTACTATTTCCCCCCAAGGCATTGGGAGGGTACATACATACAGTGTCGGTTACATACGTTTTATGATCGTCCCTATACGTGTCCACGATCGTCGCTACATGTTTTACGTTTCCAGATTGTACGTGCTCGGGAGAAATTTCATTTTTCCGCAACCGGCCGTCGCATCGAAACTTGCGGACGCGACGAAAAATTTCGCGGTACAATTTCGCGACGGAATTAAATCAGTCGGGATACATCAGCCGTCATCGAGAGATATCACGAGGATAATTCGCCGTGACCGGTTTGCGCCAACATTTCGCGTCCCTTCGTCGGCGTTATGTATTATTCAAAAAAACACGAGAAATTCGGTCATTAATATTGTAATGTAGAAAAACGACGAAATTTCGCGAAGCGTTCGCGAACTCGCATCTCCATGACGTGCAGTCTTTCATATCACGGTTTACGTCTCGCGAAATTTATCTCATTTCAAACGAGAAAATGAAGACTCGCGGAGATTAAATAAAAGTCTTTACAACAGTATAGCTTTACAACGGTTTTCCCATATCCTAAAACGCGCACTTCTCGCGCGAAGCCATTTCGATGCAAAAGAATTCCGAATTGCCTCGTTATTTCGGCGCTGAAAATGACAGCGCGCGATCACCCGCAACGTCCGCTGATCCAACGCTCTTTTCCAGGTCGCGATAAAATGCGAGACGCCGGTGGACCCGTACTCGTTCGTGGACGAGGAGATGTCGATGGGTGGCATGAGGACGGCGAGCAGTCCAGGCGGCGGCGGAGGCGGTAATCCCGAGAACATGACGTGTCCGGGCGGTGCCCAACCTGGACTGGGTACACCCACGTCGACGCCGCCCGGGGCGCTGCCCGGGCCACAACATCATCAGATGAATCTCGTGATGAACGGCGCCGCCGGCGTCAATCCCCAGCTGGCGCATCAGCCGAAGAAGCGAGGCCGCAAAAAAAAGTCGGAGATGATACTCACCCCCGAGGAGTAAGAGTCCCATATATACGCGATCGATTACGTCTAAGGCTTATCGATTTTGCGAGTTTGTCCAAAGTCAATTTTATACAAATTTAATTTTAGAAAAGCAACGAGCCTTTCCTTCTTTCTCTTCTTCTCTCTTTCTTTTCTAATAAAATGTCCAAAATATTGAGGCAAGGTAAAGGTCAATGTTGTTATTAATAAATGCGTTTTAATGAGAGAAACGAAGAGAAACGAAGCTGAAAAAGGATCATGGACCGGCCACGAAGCCGCGACTCGATGTACAACCGGAGTTAGTTATATATTTGCATGCACACACAGCTATGGTTAAAAATATCCGCTCTGCTAACAATGTCCGTCTGACTGGGCACCATGTTGCCGATCCGATAGGATCTTCAGTTACGCTTATTTTTATGTGTGAAGCCGGCCAAAAACTTAAAAATAGTTTCGCATATTAGGAACGTAACGCGATCAGATTCGCGCTATTATTATAGAGATATACGCCACGCGATAAGACGTTCGTTAAGAAGATAATTGAAGGCCTTAAAAGGAAACTTTACCCGTGCTTTCTTGACACGTTGTACATCAGTCACGTCAATTTAATTAAGTATATCGTAATGATTAAAAAAAAACAAAGGCCACATTATACACCGATGTAAATATTCTGCTTCGTTGCTATTTTTTTTTTTTCGAGTCTGCTCGCTATTGCGTAACGTTAAAAAAATAACGCGCGCAAATACGTTAATTAACGTAATCTACGTTCCGCTGCAGAATTATGTTAATTTACACGTTTCGTCCATAATATCTTAATTCGCATTAAAATACGCATTTATTCACATTCAGCGTATTGAAAAAAATCGGTTCGATGTATTATTTTATTACGGGGAGAGTCTATTTCGTTTGCGAAGACGCAACAATCATAAATCGCATCTACGATCGTTTTATATCTCACGTGACGCGAGCTTATTCATCCGTGTATTATTCGCGCGTATTCACAATACGAATTCCCGGCCAATACAAAACGTAACATTGCGTTACGATGTCACGAATCGAAACATTGTAGCGAGTCCAAGAAACGAGGCGAGGTCGCCGACTCGACAAAAAGCAGACGCGAAAAAAGTCCACCGTGTCCCCTGCCGATCGAGAGAAATAGTTGCACACCTTTCGCGCTGAATCGTATGACGCAGCATAAAGGAATCCGGCTGTATTATTAAGGCCCTCTGTGTTTGTTCCTTTTTTCAGAGCGGAGCTTGCGGAGGCCAAGAAACGCGCAAAGACGTACAAAGAGAGGAAGAAGCACGACAGGTTCGACGGCATGCCGGAAGAGGAAGTGAGCAAGCGCGTTTTGCCGGATCATCTCACCAACAACCTTGACATTATTATAGTAAGTCTCCGCAATTATATCCGTCCACGTGTTAGCTTCGGCAAATATCACGATAAGCGTCAATCTTCGAATTTTATACTCATCATACTTGAATATTGCGTCACGTGTAAATTTCCTAGAGAACATTTTATAGATCGTGTATGAGCGCGGTTGTGAGTTGGCGCTAGTTAAACGTGCTTTGGAGAGAGAGAGAGAGGGAGAGAACAATAATCGCATGCGGAGAAATATGACAAGTGTGTGCGCTTATCGCGAGATAAATAGGTCATCTAATATCGATAAATTAAAATATCCGTAGTGTCGTCACGGAAAGTGTTTCGCGTCGTAAATAAAGGAGAATTTACTCGCTCGATAATCGACTCGAGAATAGGCGACATTTCAATTCCGCGACTCGTCGTCGCACGATAATTCATTAATCGCGCCCGTATATAACACCAGCGACAATAAAAACATCAATTTCGCCGGGCGCATACGCATTTCTGTCGCGGTGCACGCGCGACGCGTAATTTATAGCCCCCGCGTATATATCGCGGCCGTGCGTGTCATTTGTAATGTCGCATTACCAATGCGCCGCGACGTCGTTCTTGATCGAATGACGGCAATTAATCAGACACGCGCGTGCGGCCCGATTCGGCCCGACCGGCCGCGCGAATCCATCTTGGAGCCGAAAATGCGAGGATTCTCTGCACGCGGCAACGACAAATGGCAATCGCCGCCTCCGCAACAGCCGGCCTAATCGCTTTAATGATCCGTGCGCGATTCGGTTATCGCGCGAAACGCCATTGCCGGTCATTGCGTTCCGTCAGTCGAGAGAGAGAGAGAGAGAGGGAGAAACCAGTGTGCGCGATGTCGGTTTACTCGAGTCTCTTGTACGAGTAAAACTAAAAGGAGGAATACAAAGAGAACTTGGCGTTTGAAACTTTTAATTGACGTTGTGGTGAAACCAATAATGAGTCTAACTGTTAATGATTCAACGATATAATTTCGAGAGAGAGAAATATTTCCTTCCCTTTCGGGAAGAAGATTAAAGTTTGCCTCTCGAGTGAAAAATATCGTCGCGATTAACAATCGCGTCAAGTTGGAGCTTTAGATCTATCGGCCAAGAGTCGATATTGAAAGCGAAATCCGAAAACAATTTCGAATAATTCTATGCTACGTATATGTCATTTTCGTCATTGCGCGTTAGCATGATCTTTATTGAATGCAAACGAGAGAATGGGAATTACGTTCTCGTTACAAACGCGACGAGCCGCCGCGCGGGTTTGATCGATCACCCGATATCGGTGTAAACGGGTATAAACAGTTTAACGGGTGAGCATCACAGTCATTACGAGTGATTGTTATAATTCGATATACGGTCGTCGTTATCAAAATTGGGGTGACTTAAATGACGAAACCGAAAGGCTCGCGACGATTTCGGTATTTTAATCGCGCGCGGAAACGTCCGGCCCCGATCCAACTTGATTTATTATTCCCCCTCGATCCTTTTCAAGATAATGGAATTATCCTATTTTTGGCAACACGCGCACCATTATATACCTAATATTAACTAAAAGCATCATTAAAGTAATTTATCAATTAATTTCGAACAAACGCGCCGTTAAAAATTAAACTTTTACAATGGAAATATTTTATATATCTATGAAACGTAGCAAAATGAATGAAATTTTAAATTTTTGCGCTAAATTCTCACACTTACGAGTTTTTCAAAATTCGGTTTCTCTACGAGCGTAGATTCCTCGAGATTTCAATCATTTTGCGAAATTTTGTCAAAGATCGGAAAAAACAATCCGGCGCAAAAAAATCACTTTCGCGCTCTCTTTCCGCGCGAAGAAAGTCTCGAGCACGCGCGCGCATTATTTATCGCAAAATAAGGTACGAGCGCCGTCGGCCATTTTCATCGGGGGAGTCTGTTAACGCTCTCCACGGTCCATATTCATATATTACCCGAAACGAGTTGTCACCGTGGTCGATCATCCGTCAAGCGGTGTAAACGCTTTAACGGGCCGTGGGCAATTCGGTTATTACGCCCGATGTTGTAATCGAACGCAGCGGGACACTGTTCGCTGCTCCCCATAGAATGCACCCCCTGGTGCACCCCCAGCGCGATCACTCCCCCTGCTTGCCCGTTCCCTCGATTCTCTGCGTCCCGCTGCCGCTCTCCCTTCCCCCTTCCCATCCCCCCGTCCCCCGCCCTCCGCATTTCCCCGGCACCGTTCCTACGTGAGCGACGCGCGTTGTTTTCAATCGGTGACAATTCCACACCCTTCCTCACGTCCAACCACCACCTCGTGGCCACCCCCGCCCGTCATTTTATCCTCGTTTATCCCGGCCGCCATTCGGCGCCGGCCGAGCGGCTAACGCATTGGCGTTAACGCGCTAATGCGATACGTACTTTATGTCGACGGCGGGCTACGAGAGACGGGGATGGGAACGCGTACACATACGCGGCGGTAGCAGGAAGAGAAGGAGGAGGATTCACTCGTATGCGATTAACAATATAACGCGATTTTGACGGCGCGATATACGTCGTTGCTTTCTCTCAATCTATCTATCTATATCTCCCTCTCCCTCTCCCTCTCTCTCTCTCTCTCTCTCTCTCTCTCGCTTATTTGAAATCGAAGGTGCGATCGAGAAATGCATTATCCGAATCGCAGAGATACGCGGAGATTCCTCAATAAGCGCGTGAAGCATTCACGCCTCGTGTTTCAGAGAGAGAAGGAGAGGGAGAGAGAGAGAGAGATAGAGAGATCTACAGCTGAAAAAACAAGTCATTCATATCTCGAATTGCGTTGACGAGAGAAAAGATAAGATTTCAATTTACAAAGATTTTGGCCATCTCTTCTCCTTGTCTTTCGCCGCATTATTGTAACGCTATCTAATTATCTTAATTAATTAATAATTTTTCCAGGTCGCGAGAAAAAAATAAAGAATTCTCAAAATTGCGACGTGTTTACGAATTTAGAGTCGAGATATTCTCACGTCCGTCTCGATCTTCACTCAACTATCCTAACAAGCGACAAACGCTGTTTCGCAAGATGCAATAATCATAACGACGTTCCCCGGGGGCCGTGCATTTTAATGCACCGCTAAACGGAGAATATAGAGAGCGACCGAAGAATTCAAACTAATCGGGTACCGATCCCTTCTCGTTCACCTCGCGGACGCACCGCGGTTTTTAATGGAATGCGCACAAACGTGCACGCATCGTCCTACGGACGTGCACTTTGTCATGCAATTATCTCAACGAGTATACGGCCGTTTGGTTGCACGGTGAATGTTAATCTCTATTTACCGGCGACAAGACGCGGACGTCGCTAGGACGTGGCTAGGCGCGAGATAAACGTCGATAGTTACGACACGAGATTCCTCGTCGCCCCGCGCGCACCTTGCACTTGCGAAAAGGTCAGTTGCGAGTCGAGAGAGCGCAGGAGTGCATCGGCTAGCGAGAGAAAGACGAAGAGGACAAGGAGGAGGAGGAGGAGGAGGAGCGGGAGATGGCTTTAATAGCGCGCGAGATGCGCGTCTAATGGTGCTTGCGCGACCGCGCGCATAACGTATCCTTGGACTTTGTCGTTATTAATTACCTAACCGGCGGAGCGAGGAGCGAAGATAATGCGGTTGTGCAACAGGTACCAACGCCGCACCTGCGCCTCCTCCTCCTCCATCTCTTTCTCCCCCTCCCTCCCGTCGCGCCGTTGCATAATCGTGAGTAAGAAGCGCGCACGTGAAGTCGCGAAACGGGGAAAGAAATCGATCTCTTCTCTCTTTCTTTCTCATTCTCTCTCCCTCTCTCTCTCTCTCTCTCTCTCTCTCTCTCTCTCTTTCTCTCTTGATTTAATAATATCGCGCGGAAGTGCAACGTGTCGTCGTGCGCGTGATTAGGTTTAATTAATGGATTTTGCGAAAAATGTGAGAAACGATACTCATTTACTGAAAATATGTAAATAGCTAATTAGCTAAGCGTAAACGATGAGAAGAGGATAAATAATAAAGCGATTATTAATATTGTTTAACAGCATCACTAGCGGAATACAATCAAAATAAAAATGCAATATAATTTTTCAGTGTTATTGCAGTTATTATAAAATCATATATTAAAAAGAGATGAAATATTCATTGTGCATTCGGGGAATCGTTGAAAAATAAAAATTGTTAATTTCAACATCGAAAAATCATCGCGCTGTTCCATTTTTACCCAAGGGTTTCAATTACCACATTTTCGATTTTGAAAAAGCATTCATTGTTCCAATGCAATCTGCTGATGCGGCTACATTCGCAGGAAATCGAGTAAAAATTGGAAAAAAAATATTGAAAGTGCAGCGACGTTAGAGCTCTCTCTTAAAGCAGAATTAAATTTGCGGGAGGCAAAAATATTTGTTTGAGTCTACCATTATTATTCATCGATGAACGAGGAGCGCGTATTAGGAATGTGTTAGTTTAATTACATTTAATATTTTTGCATACTTCAATGAGAGATGTCAAAGCATCCGACAGCGGCTCAAAGCTTTCACGAAACAGGACTTGTTTCGACAATTTGCAATTTCGCATTTTGCAGATTAAAAACGTTGCATTGAAGTACTCTCATAATAACGGAATTAATTTCGTCATATATAATATATACAATTACATACAATTTTTCGTCGAGCGTATCTTTTTAGGAAGCTTTTGGAGTGAAATTAAATATTATGTATGTAGCGAACGGTCATACGTATTTCGTAATATGTCTTCTATGCTTCATTTAATTATTACGCATTGTTTTTATATTTATCATTACGAGCAAAGGCTTTGCCAAGTTAAAAATATTCTCTATTCGCGAGGAGAAATGCATCTGAACTTGATAAACCTTTGTTCATCAAAATTCCTTCAATTTCAAGCCATCCGTGGGTAATTTTCATGTTATGTTTACACATGGTTAGTCGTGTTTATATTTAGTTAATTATGGTACGGTCTACCTTAATTAATAGCATACGGGTTTACAATCGATTCCGATTCTACGCGTGCCTTTTATATCGCGTGCTAGACGAGAAAAACGTCGATAAAGCCAACTCTTTTCTCTCCAAGTCTCGACTTAGCTTTGACAATAGGTAGAAAGCGAAATTAATTACGTCGACAGCGACGCGTGACGCAAACGGTTCCCGGATGAGTTTTTTCTCGAGTCTAGAAAAACTCGGTGAAAACTCGAGGATGCGGAGACAATAATTTCGCCGTTTCAAAGTACGGAAATAAGCTTGGAAATAAGAGCGATAATTTCTAGGAGATCGATGTACGGCAAGAGTTCGAAGAGTTTTCAGAGAGAGGAGAACAGATACAGCGATGTGAAGGAAAATGCGACTTAAGGATACCTTCCTTCGTTTCATGATTCATTCATGATTATGGCTAATTAAAATAATGATGAATTAATCGTGCCTATGCTAATGCAAATGTATTCGCGATTTGATCAGATAATATTTCAATCGTGAATATTACATAAGATAAAATCTAGAACACAAATAAAGATGATAATTAACAGAGATGCTAATTAAGAGTCAATTTCACGTTTTATTTTATTTTACAGATTGGTATCAATCCCGGATTATTTGCGGCATACAAAGGACATCACTATGCTGGGCCTGGAAATCACTTCTGTGAGTTATATCTACATATTAGTTTTTTTTTATCTCTATATATGTCCATTTTGCCAAGAATTACGTTAAATAACATTGCAAATAATAATAATCATTTTCAGCTTTTATCGCGACACTTTCTTTCTTTAGTTTTCTTTGTTTATTGCCATCATTTTGCTACTTATACAAAATACTATTATAAAAATCACGTAGTGATAATAATATTAATTAACAAAATCGCTCAAAGTATTGCATGAATCGTTAAAAGTAAATTATTATTATGATTAATTTATCTAATTTAAATTCGTATTTTGTACAGTAGCAAAAAAACGGCAATAAACGAAGAAAACTAAAGAAAGTGTTTCGCGATGAAAGCAATGAGCCGTAAAGTCATAATAATAAGTGAGAGACGAGTACGGAAGAAAAAGAGTCTCGTAGCCACTGACGGTACCACCACTTGGGCATAAATTCGCAATTCGAATTTCGAACATCTGTATAAACGAGCGACCAATGTGTCCGACAATCGTGGCGCTAACGAACCCACACCATTACCATAGCCTTGCAAGCGAGCCTCGCCTTTGCGTCTCAAAGTTTCCGCATAAAATTGCATAATGTTATACTCGCTCGGGGAAAATCAAGTGCACTTTACGCGCGCGCCTCGTCTTGGAGGCGCTTCGAGGAGAGTAATTATCAAGTCAACGAGAAAATTAGAGTCAGTGAGAGAAAAAGGGTGACAAGAAAAGAGAAGACTAGGAACGATTACCGTTTATGAATCTGAAAGAGCCTCGAAAAATCAAATAAATTTATTGATTATTTTCTATAAGAAGAAAAAAAGAAATGAAATGCGAAATATTTGGCGCATCTTGGAATAGTTGACTTTCATATTTTTTTTATTAATGCACAATCAGGATTTCGATAAATGTTAACCTAGGCTCTATAGTTAAACTAAAACGCGTCTCTGGCGAGCACGGTGAAAATTTCGGGAAAAACCCTCCCGTTGAGAATCTCTCGCGACCCCTATGATCCGATTCAGCCCTCATCTCGCGCTTTTTTTCTGCACCGGGAAACACCCGGGATCTGAAATCGCGAAGCCTGCATCGATGAACACGCAACGAGAGCCGCTGCAACGCGCATAAATCACTCACGGTATGGGCTGTAAAATCTACACAACGCATACTTTTGCGTGCATATACCGTGCATTTATTTTTCGCGTTGCTTGTATTACATCGATTAATATATTTTAATCTGATTTATATGCGGCGCATAATGGACATTATAAAAATCTTCATCAATTTCAGATAAAAACTCGCCCCCGGGAGAAATATGTCGAAATAATTGCATCCTTTGTGTTGCGGCTCGCCGCATGGCTTAACAATTTTTCTATCAAAAGTAGGGGAGAGTGCTAATTCGATTTATATATATAAAAGAAAAATTTGCACAATATTTAAAAAACTTAGAAAATGAATCTTGATAAAATATCTGCATCGATAGAGAGCCGTTTAACACACGCCGATAAAATAGAATAGAAAGATGATAATTTACTCGTTAATGAAAGGAATAATTATCTCGCCAAAAGTATCGCGCTTTGATCAAATGCGCCTTTTTCGCGTTTCTTGGATTCGTGGATTCGCGCAGGTCGCCGATGAAATCGGACGACGGGATAACGATTTTGCAGCGGTTATCTTGGGTGCAACTGCCGAAGCGCACGCACGGCAAGCACGTGCGTATTAATGCGCCCCCATGCACCGCGACGTATCGCTGCCGGTAGCCCTCCCTCACCCGCCCCCTCCCCCCCTCTTCCTCCCGCGATTTACGTGTATCTGCACGAGTCCGCGCGCTTATCAGCGGTGAGTGCGCTGTACGCATACAACATGCTTAATGTAATGTAGCGTAATATATAATACAAACCCGCGGCTACCTGCAGGTTTACGCGCCCGATTATTGCACTGCCGTAATAGCTGTAAGCGTTTACTTTCGTCCGTGAGTGTATCGCGATCAAATATTTGCGTCCGTACCGACGTAACGACAATATAAGATATCGGGGAACGCGCAAAGCGAATGTACGTAAGGCACGGTTTAACTATTAACGCGCTATTAATCGGAAGCGTAATAACTGTAACAGTCGCTGTATTATTTATAACGGCAAACCGGAAGAACACGGATAGAGATGGTCGTGCATTATGTATGTCGCAGCGCTGCTACACAATCTCTGGCTCTAATCCGAACGTTCACGAAAGCATATATCATGTGGTTCGAGTGCCATATACGTTAACTTTATTATTCCTTTTTACCCTTAAATACACTAATAATATCGAAGTATTTTTTTTAATCCCATCTTTCGTCAAAGCGGTATAAAATTGTCCAGATTTTTCCAAAGAGATTTTCCAAAATTGCTTGGATCTCTCTGACGTTTCACGATTTTATTACATTTTCCTCGGACTTTCTTTACAATGCCCAAGACGACGTAAATCCACACGCGATTGCTTCGATTCTCGCGGCATACACACGCGCGTTTACGTCCGCCATCCTTATGCACGCAATTTCCGATGCGTGCACCGACGCGGCGCACGCGCGACCAACCCCGTATGGGCTTTAAATAAACAATTTTCGCGCTAACGTCCTAGCCGATGCCTATTACTTACGCATGCCTCCCGCAGCGGCTGTACACGTACGCAACATTGCATATAGGATGTTCGAAAACTAACGTCGTTCTTCCCATCCAAAGAGCTCCCCGAAGGGGAGCTAAAGGCAGAATTTTTCCTCCAAATTTTGCGTAAAGGCCCTTTACTTTTTCATAATTTTATATTAAAGTTGCAAAAGTTTAAAATCATTTCTATATAAAATTAACTAAATAATGTATTATATTTTAACTCGTGAATGATTGCATAATTACGCATTTACATATTTGATGGGAAAACGTTTCCTTTACACCGCGGGTTGATCCGCGCATAGATCTCTTTGACGAAGAAAGCGGTTCCGGGACACCCGGTAGATACACAGAACCTTCGCTTGCTTGTGTCATGGATACACGCGTGGGTGACATATATATATATGCATACGTATATATATATATATATATATATATATATATATATATATATACGTATACGTATATATATATATATATATATATATATATATATATATATATATATATGCACATATACATATATACACATACGCCACGGTGAAGTTAGGTGCACGCCGCTGGATTTTCCAGGGTTTTCCCAGGGTTGCGGTAGAGCGTTGAACCGGGTGGAGGGTGGTCGGACGTGTAAGGGTGGAAGGGAGAACAGCAGCGAGTGAGCGGATGGTGATGGGCGAGGAGGAGGAGGCGGAAGGGGAGGAGATGGAGGCGGTATGGGAAGGGGAGATGGAGAGAGACAGATGCGGAAGGAGAAAGAGAGAGAGAGCGTGAGGGAGGGAGTGCGCGGTGAGGAAGGGAGAAACTATAATGAGTGGTGCGCGTGAGGGAGAACGGAATAAAAAGAGGGGTAGGAGGTGGTAGGGTTGGCGGGAGGGCGGCTGGGCGGAACGGGGGAAAAAGCAGGGTTGGTACAGGGGTAAAAAGGTTGGAAGCTGTGGCAACTGCCGCGCGGCAACGGCAGGGGGGAAGGAGGGAGGGAACTGTGCTCGCTGCGAGCGATGGTGGAGGGGAAGGCGGGGGTGGATCGAGCACGACGGGTCAATTTGAGTATTCGGGGGAGCATGGGGATGAGAGAGGGTGGCGGACGCATGGTCCAGGGGCCTAAAGGCAGTAAACGTCGAAAAATCCGACCGCGTTCGGGCCGTTCGATGGCTCGGAAGAGGGTCGAAGCTGCGATCGACCATTACAACGCGCGAATCGAGTATCGCGCGTCGTGCATCGGTGGTGCGCGCGTTATAACGTCGAGAGACTGCACCGGGGATATAGGGGCGAAACACACGCGCAAAGGGAGAAAGAGAGAGAGAAAGAGAGAGAGAGATACGCGGCTCTTTTCCGTAATTTCGGGGTGAGCCGGCAGGGTCGATTAACGGGACCGTGATTCACCCGCTAGATCGGTAAGGAGGAAGTTCGTTCGTTCGCTCGCTCACGCGTCGGAGATCCGTCATTGTATTTCGATCTCTGTTTTCTTATCCCCGCAGTGGAGTTCGCGAGACAAGTGTTTCACCTTGTTGATGTTGGTGGTGATTTTTCGTTGGAGAAGAGCTGCAACTTTTTTCTCTGGTGAAAATTTTTTAATGATTTCGTCATTTCTGTGAATCCATTCGACAAATCGTATATACTCTTTGTGGAGTGTATAATGCAATAACGGATATAAACGCTCGCAAGATTCTTGGAGAAATGATAATCATGTGAGAGAGAAGTATATTTATATATATTTTTGCGGAAAGATATATGCCTAATGTCCCCATATGTATAATTCCTGCAGATTCGTTTAATATTAAAAATTAGATTACATATTTGAATGAATGAAGTGGCTAAAACGCTGCAGGATAGTTAAATTATAATTAATTAAATTACAATTTTATCCATACTTATATATGTAAAATTTAACAAGATACGCGTACCGTAATTGATTAATTTATATATATATGTATAATTGACGAGTTCATTCACATTTCCATTTTCACATTTTCGTCTTTTTGAGTTTGACCATTTCTTAATACACGTGTTCTTACATCGCTATACGTTTGGTATAAATTAATTTTGTGGCATTCAAAATTTAAATTTAACTCGGCTCGTGCCACGGCAAACCTGTTACAAGCATTTGTCCAGTTCAAGTATGCTGTATTTTACAATGTGTTATAATCTTATAAACCGCAACCTTATTGCAGATATAACGTACGCATCGTAAAACTCCTCTTTTGTAGATAATATTATCTACTTATAATGTACAGAATTTTGTATCAGGATTATTGTATTACCTTTCATTATCGTTAGTTAATTAGAGAGAGAAAGAGGGGGAAGAGAAGGGCAGTGAGGAAAGGAAGGAATTTTTTGACGAATTTAGAATGATCTTTTTGTCGGCGAAAATTGG